ATGTATATGCAATTAATAGAAAGACTTATACTTACCAAGATTCCATTCTAGTCAGTGGTTCAGTATTAATCACATGATTCTTCTTATGGTATGATTCCATAATGACTTTCTACCAACTCTGAACTGATACATGTATGCATGTATTGATACAGTTGCTTCAAAATTTACCAAACACCTTGTACTATAGTACAGTATATTCTGTCAAAAATGAAATTCTCTATTTAAATTTTTTTTTAATGCATTATACTTGTTTTCCATGTTGTATGGAAAGTTTAAGATGATTTCGATCACATTTGAATTTTTCAAATTTCAGGCAAAAATCCCATCCTATAGCAGTACAATGTCCTTTGTCAAATTTCACTAAAAATGAAAAACGAGAATTTTTTAATTTTATAATTTTCCTGATAGGTATACATGTTTTTGTGTTGTATTTTTTATTTTGAGCTGATTTCAATTTCAATTAGAATTCTTATAAATTTCCTTTAAAATTGGACCAAAGTCCATTTACAGAAGTACAGGGTCCCTTGGTCAAATTTCACAAAAAATAAAAACAATAATTCTTCATTTTTATAATTTCCTTCATATGTGCATAGAGCTACATGTTATTATGTTGTGTTTCAATTTTGAGCTGATTCCAATCAGATTTGAATTTTTACAATACTTAAACTGCATACATACCAGTACATGTACTGTCAAACTTGTCTATTCAGTGGACACCTTGGGACCCAATAATACTGTTCTGCATGATCATGAAAGTGATCTTGTTTCAGAATGTAGCTAATAATATTGTATTGGTCTTCGCTGAATCTGTAGGTTTATAATGAAACTGAAATGATTTTGTTTCAGAGTCTTCAAGAGGATTTGTTAATGTAATAACTTCTCCACTGTTCATGATTGTTATATAGATCTAACTGGTGTCTGCTTGTCTGGCTCTTCCTAAGTGTATAATACAAGTACCAATGGTTTAACTCTAATGACAATTCTAGTAATATTTCACACTACTGGTATCTCCAGGTGTGAATGACAAGTTGCAAATGATTCTGATTATATTTATGCTGTGATGTGTCTATACAGGCTGTAAACCTGTCAGTGCAAAGGAGCAGGTTTCCTGATTTATTTCATTTGATGTTAACATATTCATGTACTCATGAGTCTGAGATACAAAACTTCAGTGATATGCATATAGTTTGTCACAGCATACTCATGTTATTGTATGAGCTTATTTTAAAGATGGTAAGTAAACAAGTTTTAATGGTGATGTGCACTTTATTTATGTAAAAGAAACTGTCTTTAATTTGATAAAAATAACAGTAGACTGATTTTATAGCTTTTATATACAATTTTTATTTGCTATCTTACTATTGTTAAGATGGCATTGTCAGTATCATTGGTGATTTTCCTCTTCTTGTTGAGTGTCAGTGAAGTTATTAGTCAATGTCCACCTTCCTCAGGTAAGACACTGGATGTGTATAATAACAACTGTATAGGTTTGTATAGGTATCTACCTGATGCATGGTGGAAACTGTTATTCTAATGGATCCTATTTTTGGGATGTTAGCATCAGACCAACTCCTCTAGAGTGTGTATTACCTGGTGCTACTCTGAATGGTGGACAATGGATTGGTCCTAATGGAGTAGTTCCTTGTGATGGTGGTAGCAATGCAAATGTTCAATGTACCACTGGGTCAGGCGCTAGTCTCAGTGTTTTCATAAATCCAACTAATGGCTATCTTGAAGCACATGGTGATGGCTGGTACAAGTGTTGTCTACCCACTAATTGTTCTGATCCTAACACTAACATCATCTTTGCTAATATATTCAGTAAAATTATGCTGAACAACTCTCTTGAAGCAAGTTATTTTTTTATTTGTATATAGGTTTTGCGTGGATAGAAGCATTTTTTACTGCTAATCTTCCTTCAGATATGACAGTGTATCCTCAGGAATACAAACTGAATTGTATTAAAGTTGGACACTGGCACTATGGTATTAGCATGAGCATTGGTAACACTGCACTGGCTAGTTACACTGGATGTTATGATCGTAGTAACCCTTGTCCTGGTACTGTGTTAGTTAGTAGTACATACACAGTAAGATATAGTGTTGATATCATATGGGATGGAATGACTGTCAGTAGTGGATCAATCAGTCAATCAACCACTGGAGATCAAATGTATCAGTGTGTACTGGATAACATTAATGATGGTGTTGATAGAACACGTGATTTAACCATAAAAGGTAATGATAAGATATACTAATAATTAAGTATTATTTCTCCCTATTAGTACCAGCAGCTGCTCCCTCTTCTCTTACTGAGGTCAGCAAGACAGCTACCACTATCACTGTCAGTTGGACTGCACTTGATTCATCTGATGCTGATGGATATGTAGTCAATGTCACTAGTGACACAGACACTGTGCAGACAGTACAGGTGGAGGGAAGTAGTAATAATACAATCACACTGAATGGACTGAGGGAACTGACAACTTATAGCATCACAGTCAGAGCCTATCAACAATTACTGGGACCTGCTAGTAGTACAATCAGTGTCTTCACTCATATTTGTCAGCAAGAAGGTATTTAGTTTTATTATTAATTAATATACTGACTAGATCTATTAAAGGCATTTATTTAGCATATACTGGAAAATGTTATCCTAATGGATCATATTTTTGGGACAGTAGTCTCAATGCAGCTAATGAAGCTATATCATGTGTGTTACCTGGTACTAGTCTAACTACTGGTCAGTGGGTTAGAGTTGCTGATCCTGATGATCCTGTTGACTGTGACAGTAATGATACGAGTGATCCTTTTCATTGTACTAATATCACTTCACCTAATGCTACTCTCAATCTTTATCTTGCTGGGGGACTAGCAGCAACTCAAGAAGGCTGGTACAAGTGTTGTCTACCCACTAATTGTTCAGATCCGAACACTAACATCATCTTTGCTAATATATTCAGTAAGAAGAGACTATAATCACTTACTGATGTAATAATTGTCATTTGTAGGATTTTCACAGATAGAATCATTTACTGTTGCTGATTTTCCTTCTGATATGACAGTATATCCTCAGGAATACAAACTGAATTGTATTAAAATTGGATACCATACTTATGATATTAGTATGAGCATCGGTAGTACTACACTGGTTAGTTACACTAACTGTGATGATCGAAGTAGCACTTGTCCTGGTACTGTGTCAGTTAGAAGTACCAACACAGTAAGATATACTGTTAATATCACATGGGACGGAATGACTGTCAGTAGTGGATCAATCAGTCAATCAACCACTGGAGATCAAATGTATCAGTGTGTAGTGGCAGTTACTGATCAACCTACTAGAACACGTAATGTCACTTTAAAAGGTAATAGATTATAGTATTTTAAAATAGTATCTACAATATTTTTAGTACCAGCAACTGCCCCCTCTTCTCTTACTGAGGTCAGCAAGACAGCTACCACTATCACTGTCAGTTGGACTGCACTTGATTCATCTGATGCTGATGGATATGTAGTCAATGTCACTAGTGACACAGACACTGTGCAGACAGTACAGGTGGAGGGAAGTGGTAATAATACAATCACACTGAATGGACTGAGAGGAGATACAACTTATAGCATCAAAGCCAGAGCCTATCAACAATTACTGGGACCTGCTATTACAATCAGTGTACAGACCTTACCAGGTATTGCTACTGCACCTTTTAATGTACTTTGTAACATTGTTGATGTATTTCTAGTTATTAATTCAATCAATCAGACACTAGTCTCATCCATTACACAACTCAATAACACTCAATATGGAATTGATTGTCTCACAACTACTGATATAAATCCTTCAGCTGATTCTTACTGGTTAGTGAATGGAGTGATGAAGAGTAACTCAATGTATACATCAATTGATGTCCTGACATACAACAACACACTACTGGTATATCCTGATCCACTGGGAGTGTCAGTTAATGTTACCTGTATAGCAATGATTGGAGGAATCAAATACAGTCAATCCGTGATATTACATGGTATACTTGAAAATACTTCAATTAATAGGTATATTGTTTTTTTTCTAGCTCCCAATAGTTCTCCAAATAATGCGAGAGGGTTTATATTAAATGCTACTAGTATCAAAGTGAACTGGATTAATTCATCAGAGAATAATGGATATGTGATTGAGTATACTACTGGAGGTGTAACCAGGAATGTAGTATCTACCAGTGAAGATGAAATTGTACTAACAGATCTCTTACCAATGAGTACCTATACCATCAGTGTGTACTCATATATAGATCTTCCTTCAGTTAATAGTACAGTAACAGTGTTAAGATTTGATGGTGAGTTATTATCATTGAGAGAGTGTAATTGATCTGTTGTAGTTCCTAGTCCAGTAACTAGTCTCTCAGTATCTAATGTCTCAACCACTGGTATTACAGTGAACTGGACTATTCCCAGTAGTGACAACTATGTAACATACTACACCATCTCCTATACTCCATCTTGTCCCCAGTTATCATCAGTGACTGAGACAGTCTCTGTTGCTCCTCATCAGTCCACTACAACATACAGTTATACATTAATAGGTCTGTACAGTGGTATGAACTATACCATCACAGTGAGAGCTGGTAATGTACTAGGAAGATCTGATTCTAGTTTAGTTGAAGAGTACACAATATCAACAGGTTTGGCACAGTGTTCATTTGAATCAATTGTTATTTTATATTGCTTTATTTATAGCTCCTACTGGAGTACCTAATTCATTGTCTTTTTTACAACCAATTAATAATCTTACTTGGAATGAGGTCAATTGTTCTGAGCGTAATGGTCTAATCACAGGCTATACAGTGATGATCAGTAACAGTAGTATCACATACAACCTCACCAGTACTGAGAGATTTATCATATTGAATGATCTAGTATTTGGTACTGAGTATAACATCAGTGTAGCTGCTGTCAATTCTGTTGGAAGAAGTCCCTTCAGTGATCCTATTGTAGTAGAGATTGGAATAGGTACGTAATTATTATGCTTTATCATTTCTGTTATAATGTGCTTGTCTTTATTTAGTTCCTGGTCCAGTTGGTTCAGTATCTAGTATCATGGACACTACATGGGCTGTTATCTCATGGAGTGTACCTAGTTATATTCCATCAGACTATCCCATTATCACATATGAGATAGGATATCATATCTTACAGTCTGGTAACTGTTCAATGGTAGATGATGATGACATTACTATTCAAACACTACAGTTCTCTAATTCAACCAATGGCAATACATTTATTACCATTACTGGTCTTAATGATATGTCTTGTTATCTTTTTGGTGTACGTGCATACACTGATAATGGATATGGAGAATGGACAGTTATTGCTAATGAGACATTATCACTACCACCACAGCCATCAACTAGTAAAATGTTCTCATCATCAGTTCAATCAGCTAATTCTAGCTCATCTACTGGGTTTTGTTCAATAAGTAAGCATAGCTTATTATCATGCAACTATTACACTTTATGTTTGCACATTTCCACTCAATCTATATACAGGTTGTCCTTTATGTAACTGCACTTCAGTCTGTAATGCTACTCCTGTTTCAGTAATCCCATCAACTAGTGATACATCAGACAGTGTCATTGCTCTTAGTGTGTTAGTGGGTATATTGTGTGGTCTACTAACTGTCAGTGTTGTTGTTCATATCTACTGCTTTATAAGGTATAGTTTACATTGTTTTATGTTGTACAATAATTGTTATTGTTTTTATCATAGAAAGAAGAATTTATACACTGTTAATAAGCAAACAAAGTTAGTCTATTCTGTTATTTCAAGCTATTCACTACTTTAATAGAGCTAATGATGATATTGCAATGCAAGTATGTGAACCATATGAAATTCACAAGACTAAACAAAGTGAAGAGAATGAAGGAGTATATGATGAATGTCAAACATCACCTGATGATGTTTATGAGCGTATGCCACAATAAATGTATATACTAGAATTACTTAATATACTAAACATAACTCGTTAAACATTTTCACTAGTATTAGTGCAGCAATTGATATTGTTTACATATAGTTATACATTTAGTTTGTTTGAGACAAAGAGAACACAATTTTATTAGTACATTTGATAATCACTGTCTAGATTTGATTTTAGCAAATGACATGTCTTTTATCTTCATTTCTTGTCTGTCTAAAGAGAGACAAAGTATTGGACATATTAATAAAGGGACTTATACTTACCAAATTAAAATTTCTATTCTTTTGTTGTTGCTAAAAAACTTTATACACCATATAATTTTGTGGGTGTAAAATTTTGCAAATTGGTTTTTTTCAAATAAAAATTTCATGATTTTGATGTAGTTACCATACCCTTTATAATCTTCACGAATTTTTTGCAATTTTTTTCACTATGTAAAAATTTGAAAATTATTTATTGCCTGCAAATTATATGATGTATACGGTATAGTCTTTTGTAAAATTTTTTCAGAAATAAATGTTAGATAATTCTTTATTTTTATAATTTTTGTGATGCATATGCACATTTTTATGTTGTATTTCAAATTTGAGCTGATTCTGATCAATTTTAGTTAATTTTTACAAATTTTTTCAAAATTGGGTCAAAGTCTCTGTAAAAGGTATTTGACCAAATTTTGCCAAAAAAGAGAAAATTTTTTCTGATACATATGTATGTTTTTTGGTGTATTTCAAATTTGAGCTGATCCTGATCTCATTTGGTTTTTATACAAATTTAAAAAGTTGCTCCAAAATCAAGCCAATACCCTGTACAGATTTTTAATCAAATTTTGCTAGAAATGAAAAGGAGAAAGTTCTCCCTTTTTATATTTTTTCTGATACTAATACATGATTTTATGTTGAGTTTTAAGTTTAAACTGATTTTTAATACATTTTGCTTTTTACAAAATTTTAAAGTTGCTCCAAAACCTGGCTAAAATCCAGTGCAAGGTCTTTGGAAAAATTTGTCAAAATTGAAAAGGAGAGAATTCTCCATTTTTATAATTTTTTCTGATTTGTACAAATACATGCTGTTATGTGC